AAGTACGAAAATATTTTCCTACTTCCCTGAAAAATTTCGCCAATCAAACGGAGCCTAACATCTACTTGTAGATTTCCCCGGAAGCATTCCTCAAAATCTAGGGACTAGTGGCAATTTATAGGAAGTGCAACACATGCCTTATTAAGCCCCTGTCTGACAATCATTATTTTAAAATTTTTTTATATACTCATTTTCAACTATACATTTCTAAAAATTACTATTCAAAATTCTTTTTTTTTTTTCAAAATAATGGTTGTCAAGCCGGGCTAAACATTACGATTGCGACTTCACCTACTATTTGCCTTGATCATGTGAAAGTAACCATTGTTTGATCTCATTAAAATTATAATTCATCTTTCTCTCTCTTTTTAATAATCATACATTCTCTAATAAAATAATATTACAAGTAATTTCAAAAAAAAAAATTCTTTTTTATCACACATTTTTCAACGGGGCTGTAGTTCCACAAGGAGGAATAGTAGTTCCACTAGGGGGTAAAATTCAAAAAGAAAAATTGTATATTAAACATCTTTTTTGGGAATGAAGAGACACACCTAACCATCTAGAAACCATACCAACCTTTTAGAAGGCATAAAGACAATTAGACCCTATCTTACAAATCATCTTTAAAAAAAACACGCTAAAAATAACTTCATTATTCACACTAATGTGAAGTGTTGATCAATTTTCTACCTGCAATAGTTTTCTTGATTCGTCCCAATGTCATTTTAGACACTCTCATGATAGTTTGTTTAATATAAAGTCATTGCACATAACTTTAAATTGTCAAATCTCTGATAGGAAAAAAGAAACCATCGTTTTATTTTCTCTTCCTTTTAACTTATTTTTGTTTTTTTAAAAAAAAAATCACTTTGGCCAATGGCCAAAACCTAAAAATATGCACCAAAGACAATGATTTTGTCATTTGTACATCACTTTTTGCCAACCTCGTTGACAGAAAGTGTATTGACAAAAAACAATTGGATGAAAAAACATTTTTTTTAATTGTCCAACTAGCATTCTGGTGAGAAAGATGTATAACAAGCATGATTGAACAAGACAATTATTAATTCAGAAATCAACAACTTTATCAAAATTTCGCTTCGAATTAGTCAACTAAAATAAAATGTAAAATGAGTATAAAAGAGAAATTGACGACTCCAATCTATCACGAAAACTCATATTTCATTTTATTTTTTTCAAATGTACACAGTCAATTAAAATCAGTCATCAAAGTCAAACGCTACACGTACATGATTTTAGTACTGGATTATCTAGAAGATGACTTAGGCAACTTGACAAATTTTAGATTATTACACACTTGATTAAGATTGCTCAAAAAAAATTTGTAATGAATATTCCTTGCGCGTTAAAATAAAACATAATATATATACGTGCATCTGGAACATGTGCACGTGCTTCTTCTAACTTAAAGGTCCTCAATTTATTAAAATGGAAAACAATTTTCTCATAACATTTTTGTCATATATTTTTTACTTTTTATTAGAACCGTCCCATGAATTTTCCCTATTGTTTATTACCTCTGATTAGGTACCCAGTTAACTTTTTAGAGCCATACCAACAAACAATTTGACCACCCTAGGAATTTTCTTGCT